TAGGGATCTCAGAGAGCAGGCTTTTGCTGCTTTTTAACTAAAAACCCTCATTTATTTCACATACCCAGATTCATTACAGCTATTTCAAAGGCCTGCTACCAGCTAACCCCTGGAAAACCAAAAGAATCACCAAATTGATGTCCCTTACTAAAAGATAAGTAGTTGGAAGCTTGGGAGTAGCTGGGAGTTTGTGGGAGGCAACAGGCACTCTTCAGGGAGCATCTAGACTTGTATACTTCCCTCAATGCTTTGAAATTTGCCATCATTAGTGGAACTTAGTCTTTCTGACCTGCTAATTTGTTGTTCTATATTTTTTCAAGTTGTCTCAGCTGGAAGAAACAGTGTATTGCAATTTTTTATGACAGGTTTAAGAGAAAAAAAAATTATGTTCGTCTTCACTTGTTTTCTCTACTTGATTAAGGCAAATAAGACAGGGTCCTAAACACTACTGTTATTACAAGTTACATTGAAAAGGCTCGTACACATCTGTTCTACAATCCAACCATTATTTTTCATCAATTTTCCTTTACTATGTACTGATAGAGTAGACTGAAAAACTGCAAGAAGTTTTTGCTTTAATCTTGGGCATAAATTAGTGTAATATTTTATTTAAAACCCGTGGTTTGAAAAAGTAATTTTTTGTCATGTAAAATTAGAGACTGATGCATTCCATAATTTAAAAAGGCAATCTGAACTGTACAGTGAATTAGTTTTAAATTTTACAAAAACACTTTGGAATGGTCTTACGGAGCATTCACTGTTCTTAAACTAGAAACAAGATTTCCAAGCAGATTTATGACCCCATGAGTATCACAACACTACTAACTAGAAAGGAGTTAGTTACCAGAATATCAGGATAGCTATCCAAAAAAACCCATCTTTCTACTATAGAAAGCCATTATACTACTCGGCTACAGTATGAAGACAACTAAGAAAGCCTTTGGAGACAAAGCAGAATTAGGATCACAATGTCCCCTCCATTTTCTTGACCACTGTATGAATAAAAGATATTTGAATACTCTCTTACCTTGCAAAGATGAGCTCTGCTCCAGCAACAGAAAAGGGTATATAGAAGCTACCAGCACTCCATACTGATCTGCTGATTTCACTACTGCAATCACTAGCTGATGAGCAGCTGGACCTGCCACTGTTGTATTGCCTCACACAGCACCAGTTAGTCAGGTGTGAGTCCTTCTGACCCCAAACACACGTATGTGTCTAGGCCCAATCAATCAGTCTGGCAGCAATAAAGTGGCATTGAATAAAGCAATGAAGTAACATTGTGGGGATTAAAAAGTAAAAGTATCTTGTGCATTTCAATGTCCTTGTTACCTGAGTAGATAGTGCTGGTATTCCCCCTCATTTTATTTACAGACATGGGCTATTTTCAAAATCATGAAAAGAAAGAATGGAAAAAAGTAAGAGTGGCATGGGCAGGGCACCAGTATATCAGGGCTGCTCAGCACCAGAATGCAGTGGGCAGGGGACAGCAGAAGCTGGATCTGCATCCTGGTGAGCAAAGGGGACAGGGAAAGCTCTGATTTTCTGTGCTTAAAAACCCAAAATCAAATGCCAAAATTTATAGGCATTTGGAATGTATTTTATTATAGTGATTGAGGCACTGGTAGGCTTCCAAACTGCTTTAAAATTGTAAATATATTGATAAAACACTGTTCAACTGATACCTGTAAATATAGTGGCATTTCATTGTTATCATGGAAAAACACAGATTTTGGGGTTTTAAATCAGAGAAGCTGTGATTTTAAAGCAGAGAATTTGTGATTTGTAAACAGAGAAAACCAGGATCCCTGGTTATCAGCACCACTTAAGTCCCCTTCCTTCCCAATGCTGAAAAATTTTAATGAACTGCCTTGCATATAGGGTGGCCATCACAGAGGGCTGTCCAGTTGTCCTCTGTCCTCTATTGAGACGAAACCTGACACCTTGAAGAGAAAAATAGAGGACATAAAGAGTAGCAGAAAACCAGACCTAGCTGCATATGGACTGATTCTTGTATCTACTGGGATTTCTACTGACTCCATAGAGAGCTTGTAGTATTACAGTCTTCCTACAGCAGTGTGTCATCACTCTATCTGGTTTTAAAATGATAGGACAACAAAGGATGCCAAAGGAGTCAGCATTAGTTCACTTGGAAGGCAAACTTTAACAATGAGTAAAGCTAAACATAACTTTGTCTCAACGCAATTCAAATGAGAAAAAATATATCAATATAGAGTTAATGCAGAAAAGAATAGCTCCAGAATATGGTAATATTTCCTCACATCTACCCACATGTGAATTTTTTTCTCTTGTCCAGGTCTTTTCTTTAAGTTTTCTTTAAGTTTTAACAAGGGTTGACAGAAAAAGTGAGTTACACATTCATAAATGGCATATGAAGGGCTAATAACTTATTAGTTGTTAAATGCATTTTACAAGCATGAGAACAGTTGATTATAGGTAGTTTTAAGCACAACTGAAGATTATAATAGGTAGCTATAAACCTGTTAAAGTAACACTTGGCTAAGCTTAGTCTTTATGAATAGAACGCAAATAAGCATGAAAAGATGTAATTTCACTACTAGAATCTAATCCTTGCTTTGAATATTTGTATTTTACAGGATTTATTCCCATATCATGTAATTCTTTTATTAAAGCTAACAGTAGTTGATAGTTCCGTATGCAGGGGATGGCAGGCTCTTTCAGTGTTGAAAAGGATTTTTAAGTATCTTTTAGAAGGCTTTTAGGATTTTCAGCATTTCCTACCTGCTTCAAACGCACACAAAAGGAACTCAATAAATTTAAGGCTGAATTTGCTGAAGGTCTTAGCAAACTGAGGGGCTTCAAAATTAAGCACTTGAGGTACACAGTTTCTTTCGCTAGATTATACAAAAGTAAAATGTTAATTCATTTAATTACATATCAAAATCATGACCCAGATAAGAGCAATTGTAAAAAAAACAAACAAAAACCCAGCTATTAATAAATAACTCAAAAGCACAAGTCTGATGCTTCACTTGATTTCCACATAAAACAAACCTTAAGTCACAAAATTGTATGTCTCTGTCATCAGGATATTTTAACGAAAGGTAATTTTACACAACTTTCAAACAACAATATTTAATAAGTTTCACTTAAAAAATAACTTGGTAACTCACTGGCATTTTCTGTTTCTTTGAAGATAAAAATGAACATTCCCAAAGATAGCAGTTTATATCTACAGGTTTTAATGTATCATTGATCTTTTTAAAAAAAGAGAAATTCATATCCTTTGTAAAATACGTTCAATTTTTATAATGAAATGCAGAAACAAAATACAAATTGTATTCCCAAGGAATCTCACCTTCAAGAACCATAAAATTTAAAACAAAATATTTTCACAAAAATCTCATCTAGCCTTCTATTACAAAGCATAATACACTGGACTCTCAAGTACAGCCCCATAAAATAACAAGTTACTATCTTGACAGGAGGAAAAAAAAATAGATGTTATCTAACTTTAGGAAAGTCCATGATGAATTTAGAGATTTGTTTTGAAAAGTAACATATCAGAACTTCCTCCTACATTTCAAGGTTCAGTCCAGAAACTAATACTTTATCGCTGGTACCCTTGTTTTCTTTCCCATGGGTGAAGTTAGGATTCACAGCATTATAGAACTGTTTAATTCTAGATATACATTCCAAATGCACAGAATTAAGAACTCCAAGATGTTCTTTCTGGCTATTTCTCCTGTGTCCTTCTGCTCTCCCAGTTCTATCATTAGTATCACAAAAGATATTCTAGTCAAGTAATCCAGACATCTTTACTGCTGGAAACCCATGATGGAACTGGATGGATACTTTGTTTAAAAAACTGCTAAATGCAGCTGTTTAAAATCCTCAAATAATGGCATTTCAGTAAGAATATTTAATTAATGTTTTTGTTCATGTAACAACTGAGCAATGGCAATTTTATTTATAAAAACATTTACTAAAGTTTCACTCAAAAATTTAAAATCTCAAACATCTTCACTGTATAAGCAGCACATGCTGTACCAGAGGAAGTGGGTTCATTGGTAATGTTCTCTGTTGTCCTACAGAAGACCTAGAATAAAATCCTTTAAAGTAACATGCAGACATTACATATATTGTGCAATTAACTGGTTAATTGCACAATAAATTTAGACCAGCCACATGTGCAAAATAATTATCATGCAATTAACTGGTTAACTGAGCAATAAATTTAGACTGGCCACACATGCAAAGTAACTGTCACACCACAAACATGTCTATCCAGCTATAAAAAGAGCCAAGCAGATACAAAGTTAGTGCTTGAAAAGGTGTAACAATGCCATAGCTGGTTTCTATCAAGCTTTAGTCTGAATGTATGGCATGGCTTTCATCTACAGTGTTCTGGCAGATTCTTATAAGAAACTTTAAGGGAGTTTAATCTGGGCCTTCTGTAGGACAACAGAGAACGTAACTAGTGGATAATATCACAAAACTGGAAACCCTCTGGCCATTTATAAGTGCTACTAATAGACAGAGAAATAAGCCCTATCTAGATCTTGGCAGGCAGGACAGAAATCTGTGGTGTAGGATCTCCAGGGTGGAATCAATTAATAACACTTGGCATGAGGAGTAATGAATCCTTTGTTTGATTTTTACCACTCTGTAACTTCAGCATTATCACTCATTCACTCCACAAGCTGTGCAAAAATAGCTGCATTTAGTTGCTTCATATAAACTCAACAGAGATAGCAGAGCATATTACAACTGTTCTCAGCGGCTGAAAGAAAACTGCTGCCATCAGAGAATGTATGAAACCAGAGCAGTCCTGTAATTCCTTGTTTTCCAGCTGCACTAATAGGAAAGAAAAAGGTTACTCTGAAAAGAAGAAATGCTCTACTACATGCACACACGGATACATTTAACATTGGTTTCAATAAGAGCAGGAAAGAAAGCACTGCTGCTAAAACATGGCAAATGATACCACATAAATGACATCACGCACAATGAAGGACTTCATGCATGAATAAAACAACTTTTTTATTGATGATTTTTAGGTTGTTTTTATTTTTACTTTAGTAATGCATATCTGCTGTTCACTCCATGTGCAAAATTGGGGACGGAAGCAGGTGATTAGTTTTTGTAATCAAAATCAAGCAGAGATGAACTTTCTAGTTGCATGAGAGGCCTATTAAAAACAGGAAAGCTAAAAAGCCACAGCTGATAAGACAAAGCTGCTTCCAAACCTGCAGTTTGTCATGCCACCTTAGCACACATCTGGCTGTATTGACAGAGCAGTTAAATATTACGAGTGACCTCTAGTGGACCAAAATGACAGGTGTCAGCAGGACAGCTACATTATCTTGAGATCTGGTTTGCAACCAGCTTCAATCAGTGTGGCAAAAAGAAGGCACAAATCATTGCAAAGACCAGATTTTTCCATTGTTTTCTTCTTTTTTTAAATACACTATAGTACACAAATTTATCTTGTATATTTTTTTGGACATAAAATTGCATATGTAACAGAATTTAAAACCATAACACAAAAAGTAGGCTCTTCTACCTGAAGCAACACCCTCCCCCCCACACACACATAGTAACATTCATTCCTGACTATATGCAGTACAAATATTTTAGGACTCTGTGACAAAAGACAATTTTTTTAAAAAAATCAAAATCATAAAGCTTGTAAACGGATAATCTGAAATACATTTTATTTATGGAAAAATATCATCAAAATAGTACCACTATGGACTAAACTGCCTGAGTTTTCATTTTATCTGTGATCTTGAAGTAGAGAGCCTTTAGCACAATAGTAACAATTTCAGTCACAACCAGTGCCATACAGCAACTGCTTTGTGTAGAAGTTTTTCTTTTCGTTGGTATTTCTGTTGTGCTATCAAAACTCTTGTGCTAATCCTTCAAACAAAGGGATGTTGAGGCAATTCTTAAATCATTTGGCACAAAGTTATTTTGGCTGGGGCATAAATTTGAGTCTCAGTCATGATGAATAATGTAACATTCCATCTATCAAGTATTCATTTTGATTGAAGAGCTTTTTTTATGTCATTAACTTCCATCTGAAAAAAAAAAATAGATTTTTAAAAAAATGTGCCATCTAATCAAATTCAGGAATAGTTGCTATAAGTAGCCTAACAAATTAAGTCTAATGTATCATTGGGTATTTCAGGGTGGGGTATAGGTTTTGTATTTGGTGGGAGAGAGGAGAGAATTGGGTTTTTTTGGTTTTGTTTTGGTTTTGTTTTTACTTACACCACTGCCAAGGGTTGCACAAATCCAGGTGACTAACTTTCACTAAAGACAGCTGAACATAGCTCCAGAACCAAACTAGGACAGTCACTGGAACATGACATATGAACCTATTATTTCAGATTCTCTCCTAGGAGTCTTTGCAGTGCTTCCCAGCCCAAAATGTTCCTCTTTGCACAGAAACTACACTGGGGTGCCTCTACATGAAAAGTTTACTGAGGAGCTAACTAATTAGCTCTACAGTACAGCATCACCATCTATACATGTGGTGCTATTAGGACAGAGTAAACTAATTAACTCTGCCATAGGATAGTGCTGCCAGACTCAAGTACTATCCAACAATGGAGTTATTTAGGCTGCTGCAACGTATATGTAGACACTGATGGGGATGGCTGGAGCTTGAGGGTGCTTCGGTGTGGGGCACAGGCAGAGGGAGAAAAAATTATTTGTGGGGACTGAGTGTAGGCGTGCCCCACCCCCCCACAGCAGGTAAGTCTTTAGGGGAAGGGACAGATCAAGGCCCTTGCAGTGAGGGAGGGAGTGGGACACAGGCAGGAGCAGGAGTGGGGGTGAGTGGGCCAAAGCCCAGCACACAGCAGCAGCCAGCCTCTGCCTCACATACAGCAGTGGGACCCCACCCGCCTGTGTCCCTGGATGAGCCGTGCAGGCTTCAACTGTCCCACCACCCAGCCTGGCCAGAGCCCCCCTCCCTCCAGCCCCTGCCCCTACCTGTGCTCCACTCTCTTCCTCACAGCAGGGGCCTTGATTGGCCCCCTTCCCCAGCCCATTCCCCATCATAGAATGGACTGATACTTGCCAGCCATGCTGGGCAGCTAGTGATCCAAACCCTGGGCTGTGATCCTGGTTGTGCGTGTGCCCCTCCCACCTGTTGCTGCAGCTGCCCGCAGCCAGGCTGCCTTGTGGCCCTACCCACTGCCCCAAGTTTGGTGGGGCTGAGCCCCGTCAGTCCTGGCCTTCCACCGCCTAAGGTGTGGGAGCTGCCTGCCAGCTAGTTCCACATTGAGGCACTCTCATATCCCAGCCAGCTCCTCCACAACATGCTGAGCCAAGCTGGAGCAGCCCTGGGCTAGCAGGCTGACCCTGGGGCCCTCTGTTTGCTGAGGCTGCTCTGCCTTGGCTTAACATGCTGTTGTCCCAGATGCACATGCAAATAAAAAGCCTGGGAGCAATAAACTCCAGCACAAACAGTGATGGAGTTTTTTCAGCCACATTAACAGCATGTGTAGATGAGCCCAGGTTTAACTTAAATTGGCTTAGTTAAGCTATTTGTTTTTTTATTTAATTAATCTCCAGCACACCCTCTCCCAAAAACGCTCAGGTTGGCTTATAATAAAAACAGTTAAGTGATAAAAATAGATAAAATATTAAAATAAAATAGTAAATTCCTCAAACCATACCCCAAAATTAGCTTCACTCTACCTCCTAATCTAGAGCAACTTTTGCATGGAGATTCACACATATAACTGGTTTACATAAATATAAGTTTAACTTGAGCCTACACATTTATCAGTGCAAGTTAAACTAGATCTAATTTGCCACACCCAAAATTTTTTAGTTATATTAGTACTGCTGTGTGACTAGGCCTAACGCTGTCTTGGGCTGGAATCCAAAACCCTAAACGTTAGGGAATGTTAGGCCAAGGAAAAAATATCAATAAAAAGTTGATCAATTTTAGTTGACTATTAGCTGTTCATTATTAAAAACTTTGACTGCACAGTTCTACCCAAACTATTCTATTTGCAAGTTTCCGGCCTTGTGATGCAGTGAGAAGGAAAATACCCACTTAAGGTGTGTCCACATGAGCTTGCATGTGCCTCTTGCAGCATCTCAAATCCTTTTGAGATGCTGCAAGAGGCACGTGCAGGAACAAAAAAATGCAGTTTTGCAGCATGGTGGCAAAATTAGACCTCTGGATATCCAGGGGTCAAAAAACCCTGCAGAGAAAAAAAGTGAGGCAGGTCCCAGACCATGCCCTGAGGCAACCGGAGGCTGGGTCCTCCACAGAGATGCTCTGGCTGCCAGAGCATCTCTATGGTTAGCCCTCGCCTTGGTGCTGAAGCATGTTGCCTGCCCATGTAGAGCAGGCAGTGTGCCAGCAGCAGGGAGCTGGACCCAGGCATCACCGTTGGTAAGCAAGGGGTTGGAGGGCTGGAGGAGGGGGGAGGGGACCATGGGGAGGACCCCCGCCAGCTCTGCCTGCTCCCCCAACCCCCCCGATGCCTTCCCCGCCTGGCCCATCC